GCTTTGGCACGGTTGCAGCCTCCCGCTGGCTCGTGACTCACTCGTAAGGGGCGGGGGAAGGGGCCTTCCTGGAAGCCGTGACGAGGAGGCTCAGCCCGGACGCCCAGGTTCCTCTCCTGTAACCAGGGCTTCTGTCGTCTGTAAACAGAGGCTCGAGGACAACGGGAAAAGGGTGAAAGGGGAGGTGTTTGGAACCCGCCTCCGGGTAGGCTCCAAGTTCCTGGGCTGCTAATAGGACAAAGGCGGCAGGAAAGCGGGAGATGGGGGCCACCCGGAGATCCCCAGAGCCCAGCCTGGCTTGGGCCTCGATCCTGGAGGAGGGATTCCAGTTTCGATTCCCTGGAGATAGGGAGCATTTCCCATCCCTGAGTCAGGCCGACCCCCGCCTCTCTCCCTTGTGCTGAGTCACCGGCCTGAAACCCAGGATGCTTGGGAAAGAGAGACTTTTGAAGAGATTGGAGTGGGTATGGGCAGGACAGACCACCCATCGACACACAGGCCGGAGGGCCCAGAAGCCAGGGAGGGTCTCTGCCCTTCCTTGCTCAGACCAGGGGTCCGAGTCTCCAGGCCACCTTCACACTCAGACCCATGATAGCGGGCCCCCAATTCCTTCCCTCATCAGACCTAAGTGTCTGAGACCCCAGCCCCTCTTCCCTCCAATTTAGCAGCCAGCTCCCAGCTCCCATCCCCCCTCCAACCTCGTCTTGCCCTCAGGCGTCCCAGCCCAGGAGGAAGTTAAGGGCTGGGTTCCTCCCCACTCCCCACGTAGCCAGCGGGAAAATCCATGGCCCAAGAGGCAGCCGGGAATCCCCTCTGGAATGACGGTGGAGAAGGGGATGGCCGGGGTACCCCCTGGGGCACTGGGGGTGGGGCAGGTCCTGGGCAGGCAAGAGGAGGGGGAAGGGGGCGGAAACCAGAGAGGCTAAAAATACAGTGAACACTTCCGGCCTAGGGGGAGGGGAACTGAGAGCAGAGTTTCCAGAAAAACAAGTCGGGACGGGAAACGCGGGGGTGTGAGAGCCAGAGCGAGTGCGAGGGCGAGCAGGGCCGTGTACTCACGGCACGTGTGCCGGGGCCGGGTGTGTGCCTGGCGGGACTGACAGCGTGAGCGGGTGGGGAGGGCGCTGTGCAACTGCAGGGGCCACTGGTGTGTGTGACACTGTGTGAAGTGTGGGCGCTGCAGGTGTGAAGGTGTGTGCCCTAGTGTGACTGGGTGAGACCTGCGGCCTCCTTTCCTTTGTGAGGCTTGTGTCTTCCAATCCCACTTGACATGCCTGTGAATAAATGTGTGAAGTCACTTGGGCCTGTGTGATTGATTATACTGTTTATTTTAACCACCTTGCGGTATGGACGTATGTGCTCAACCCTGTCTTTGAGGCGGCATTCATGAGAATATGTGACTTACATACCCACATAGACGCCTGTGTGTGACTCTGAACCACTGTGAGATCTGGAGTGACTATGAGTCACTCCTTGAGGGAACCTAGTGAGGGTATGACTGACATCTTGTGAGATGAAGATCTGTACACACCTCAAAGTCGAGTGTGTAAGTATCTGAGATACAGGCAGCTGTGGCTGTGTGCAAAGTCCCTGCAGCTCAATGTATGTAGTGAATACTGTTGTGTGTCCTTATTTGGGGGGTGTCTCTGGGAACATGCTAGATCACTGTCTGGATGCAGTTCCTCTGTGGCCAGTCACAAGGTAGTGAAACTGGTGAACTTTGGTTCCTGACGTCTAGGGCGCACAAGATGGGGAGGGCAGCTGGCGCACATCCCACTTTATGTCGCTGTTCCTTGTGGCCTCTGTGGGCGGACTGACACACACAAGCACACACACTGGCACCTGGGAAACCTTATCTCTTCACAGCCAAGGCTGCTTTTGATACTGTTGAGCTGATAGCAGGTCTGAGTCAGCTTGTGATAGGCAAAGTCTGCGATGGGGTGAGAGATAGCATGTTAGGTGGTAGAGGGTTGTTTATATATTTACATGTTGAATTGTTCCTTTAGTCTGTTTGTGGGCTTATGTTGAGACCCTGGGGACACCATGATTGTAGGATGGTGGGTTATGGTATTCTCTGCTGGGTGGAGTAAGTCCTTGTGTACCATTTTACTGTGTAGTTGTGCATTTCATGTACTTTCCCCAAAGTGTGTGGTTGTGTACCAGGCTGTACAATCTCTCCCTCTGGCTTGAAAATCTAGTAAAGATCTAAACCAGGGCCCTTCATAACCTGCCTTGACTTTATCCCAGCCCATTCACTGTGGTCCAGGCCTCCACAGTGTTCTATAAACATACCATTACACTCCTGCCTCAGGGCCTTTGCACTTGCTATCTCTTCTTCCTAGAATGCTCTTTCCCCCAATGTTCACGACTTACTCCAAGTAAGTCTTCTCAGTGAGCTCTTCATATCTTCCATCAAGGATTTAAAAATTACAAACAAACCTTGCTATCTATTTAACAAATAAATACATGTAGCATCTATTTACAGACCACAATACCTATGAACCACTACCCAACCTAAGCTCTCAAACTTTGTTTCGTGCATTGTTACAATTATTCCTAAATATTTGTTCCATTAAAAATTTTCAAAATTTTATTTATCTTTAGATAAAGGGAAAAGAAGGGAGGGATAGAAACATCCATGTGTGAGACACATCAATCGGTTGCTTCTTGTGCGCCCCCAGTTGGCCACCTGACCTGCAACCCAGGCATGTGTCTTGATAGGGAATCAAACTGGTTAGCTTTAGGTTCACTGGCCATCACTCAATCCACCATCCAGAGTTCATCTTTTTTTTTTTTTTTAATTTTTAATTTTAGAGAGAGGGAGAAATACCGATGTGAAATATTTATTGGCAACCTAGGGTATGTACCCTGGCTGGGAATTGAACCTGCAAACTTTTGGTGTCTAGGACAACACTCCAGTCCAGCCACCTGGCTGGTACTCTCTCCACTTTTGATCTTACTTTTCTGCTCTATTTTTCTTCTTGGAACTTCTGTTTGATATACTGTTGACCTTTGAACTGTGCAGATCCACTTATACATGGGTTTTTTCAATACTCTATGAATTTTTCTTATGATTTTAAGTTTTATTGTGTCTACTGTACCTCACAGGGCCAGCTGTACCTCAGTCTTGAGTGTGTATGCCTATGGTGTGACACATCTCCACTAGTACATGTCATGTACCCCACAGCTGGGAACTGGTGGGCAAAGTGTATTAGTGGCTGTACATAGAGAACTGCATCATGTTAGGTGGGAATATGACTTTGTTCTTGTATTTAATATAGAGATGTACATGGGTGCCAAATGAACAGGGGCTAGATTATATCAGTCAGTTTTACATGTCAACTTGGTGAGGCTACAGTCCCCAGTTACTCAAACACTAATCTAGATGATACTGTTGAAGGTATTTTGTATATGTGATTAAAGTCCTAATCAGTTCACTTTAAGTAAAGCAACTGACAGCCCCCAGGCTGCATGTGGCCCTGGATGGCTATGAATGGGACCCAACACAAAATTGTAAATTTACTTAAAACATGATGAGACTTGTGATTATGTGTTGCAAGGTATTTAATGTGTGGCCAAAGACAACTGTTCTTCCAGTGTGGCCCTGAGATGCCAAAAGTTTGGACACCCTTGCCCTAGATGATCTGGGGAGTCAGGCAGGGAAGCTGATTCAGTCAAATAGGCAGACGTGTGGTTTCCCTGAGGAAGTTCTACCTGTGAACAGCAGCTTCAGCTAGTGACCCAGAGGCCAGCTTCCTTTCCTTTGGGCCTGTCCTACTTGCCTGATACACACACTCTCACACAGCTGGCCATTTCCCAGGACTCCAGTGTGGGGACTTAGGCTTTGGGTGGATCACGGGTCTCTATGATCCTGGGGTTTCCTTGCAGCTGTGGGGTCTATGACAGGAGGCCTCTGGGAGGTGACATGGGAATCAGGACGCAGAAGGGGTTGGGTGGGGCGGTCCCCTGGACCAGAATGAGTCACTTGAGCCTTTCACACCCACCAGCTGGGCCTGGGCAAGTAGCCCCACCCTGCACTTGCCCAGGCCTGAAGGCCATGGCTGGGCTCTCCAAAGCTTGCTTTCAGAGAAGTGGGGAGCCTAGTGGGCACTCCCTCCCCAAAGCCCCCTCCCCAAGGTTTGCTTCCTGGAGCTGGGGCCCAGGCGCCTGGGGTTCTTCCCCAGGACTGATGATTCACCCCTTCTGGGGCCTTTTCACTTCTCCTTTGGGGCCAAAAATATAGGGACCCAGGCATCCAGCTGGGCCAGGCTTCACCACTGATTGCACAATACCCCTAGTTTAAGTACTGCTGACGCAGGCCCTGTGTATGGGTGGGGGCCTCAATTGCTCCCCAACCAGGCATGCTGAGGTCAGGGCTTAGACCCCTTTACTTCCCCTTTCCTGGGCCAAGGATACTGGGGGATGGGCTGACATGGGAGGTGCCTGGGATCTCTGGGTTCAGCTATAGCCCCTGGAAAGCTCCCTCCCCTAGCCTTAGGTATCCCAAGGGTTCTGGCTCCCAGAATCTGGTCTCTTTCATAGACACAGAATCCCAGTGAGGAGTTGGGGCCAGAAGACAGCAAAGGAGACTAAAAGAGAAAGAGTCAGAGACAGGGAGACATAGGACCACAAAGGCAGAGAGACATATGGACAAAAAGAGACTGAACGAGAGAGACGACAGACAAGCAGCAGAGACACACAAGGGAACAGCTAGAAAAGGTGCCGAGACAGAGACCATGCCCATACTCAGACAGAATCAGGTAAGGATGGAGGGAGAGGGGCCTAGTTAGGGCTTCATACCCAGTGCAGGTAGTGTAAGTGCCCCAGAAAGAGGTCCTCCATAGGCACAGTCCAAAGTCCACCCTCCCTAGAGAGGACAGCAGGCAATCAGAGCTGCTCCCTCTACCCACTTCCCGATGTGCTCCCTGTTGGCCTCTGCTGCCCCCTGCTGGCTGCCACCCAAGAGCTCAGGCCAAAAGAAAAGTCAGAGACAAAGTTGCTTTGAGGCTACTTTTCATTCTCTCCCAGTCCCTCTCCCCCACAGCCTGCCCACCTCCTAGCCCGCTCCCCTCCCAACCCTGCCACCTCACAGGGCACCCCCAGGGCCTGTAGGTGGTGCAGGAGTCTTCCCCGTGACCTTGTTGGCACAGTCCAGTAGAGCGGTGTGAATGTCCTTGGCACAGGCAATCTGGGCTTTGATGAGCGCCAGGTACTGAGGGTAGGGCTGACTGTCAGGCTGTACTGCATCCGGTTTGGTGGCTGTGGGCACCAGCAGGGGAGAGTGCTTGGCACTGTCGCAACTCTGTGACAGGCACTCATGTGCCAGGCGCTGTAGACAGGCAGGCAAGGTACAGCATCAGCCTCACTCTGCCCCAACTCTGCCCCAAGGGCCAGCCTAAGGTAACCTGCCTGGTCTCTGGACTCCTTCTATGTACTTAATCTACCCAAGCCTTAAATACAGCAATTCTCATGCCCTCTTAGAGCTGTCTCATCCCCACATACCAATCAGAGCCCACCTCAGTACTGATGACAGAACATGCATGTCTCCAGACTTCCCTGGAATCCAGAGCTTTCACACTCTCCCCCAAAACTGATCCCCATCCTAGGTATCTATCTGTCTAAGGGATGGCCCTGTCATTCTGACTAGAGCCCTGGGCCTCATCCTGGAGGCCCATCCTAGAAACTGGAGACTACATCCTAGAAACTACAGCAACCGGTCAGTTTCATGGTCTTTCCCATCTGCTTTTTCCCCACTTCCTCAGGGCCCTGCCTTGGTGGAACCTTACCCATTGAATCCTGTCATGGCTGTCTCCTTTAATTCCCAGCCTCTACTCCTGGCCCCTTTAACTTATCCTTCATTTGGAAGCCAAAGGAATATTTTTTAGAAAGCAATGGGGTCCATATTCTTCCCTGCTTGAAACCATGGATGGCTTCCCAGCCCCTTTAGGGCTTATTAAAAATTCAGCAACCCTGCAGCAACAACCCCCTCTTCCTTCCTTCAGACCATACTTTGCTTTCTTTTCTCCTAAATGCTAAAGGGACCCCATGAGACTTGCAAACACGGGAGCAGTGGGCTTTAAAGAGTCTCCTCTTGGCCCTGGCTGGTGTGGCTCAGTGAACTGAGCACCGGCCTGTGAACCAAAGGGTCCAGTTCAATTCCCAATCAGGGCACATGCCTGGGTTGTGGGCCAGGTCCCCAGTAGGGATTGAGTGAGAGGCAACCACACATCGATGTTTCTCTCACTCTCTTTTTCCCTCCCTTCCCCTCTGTCTAAAAATAAATAAATAGAACCTTAAAACAAACAAACAAAGCGAGAGTCTCCTTTTGCCTCTATCTTCCTTCCTGAGTCTAGGCAGCCCAGTCTAGGCTTCCTCTTGCTGCTGTGATCTTGCCTCTTTTATCCTAAGCCCTTCCTTTGTTTTTGCTCTAATAAATCTTGCCACTAGTACTTAAAAAAAAAAAATTCAACAAGCTCCAATGGCAAGTACACCCCAGCCAGACTATTCCATGACATCCCTAAAGGGAACTTAAAGCAACTGTTTCTTTGAGTTGGAATACCTTTCCACCACTACCAGGCTTCTCAAACTCCAACTTTTCCTTCAAAACCTGGTTCAAAATAATGATGACAATGACAATACAATGAAAACAATGAGGACAATTATGATACTACAGGAAATGTTTGCTATGTGCTTTGTACCGTATTAAGTACTTTACATGCATGAACTTGCTGAGTCTTTCCTGAAAACCCATTTTTCCAAGAGAGGAACCCAAGGCTCAGAGGTAGAGGTTGCTGGTCCATTTGATATCAGATGCTGTGCTCTTAACCACTTGCTTTCTTCTCCCTCTTCCATTTTTGTTATTGCCTCAACTCCAATGTGCTCTCTACCAATAGTGTTTCCTGGGCCATTCTCTCCCTAGAACCACTGTAGGTAAGGTCAGATGCCTTCTTTGGGCTTCCACAGCTCCTTGAGCTTCCCCAGCTCCTTGAGCTTCTCTCATTTTAATGCTGACTTCTCCAACTGCCCCCACCCCCAGCTGAGCCCTGACCTCTGAGGCCTGGGCTTCTCCCACCACAGCTCTTAGCACTCTGAGCCATCATTGTTGGGGAATGTATATCACCCCACTGAACTGGAAGCTCTGTGAAGGCAAAGATCAGGACATCACTGTGTCCCCATCATCAGCTGAAGCACAGGTCTGGCCCGCAGGAGGTGCTCATGTGTGTTGACTGACTGACTGAGGATTCCTGAAGACCCAAGGGAATGAATCACGGTTGTGGTCACCCAGTGTTTAGGAGGCCTCTTACCAGGCAGAGCTCCAGCTGGTCACAGAGGGCATAGAACTCCTCCAGACATTTGTCAAAGCGTTGTATGGGTCCATCACTGCTTTTTCTATAGACCAGGAGAAGGAGATTGAGGAATGGATTTCCAATCTCTGGTACATCAATGTCTACCCAGCCAAGTATCTATTAGGAAACCAGGTAAAGGCCCAGGAGCCCTGAGACAGGGACTAGGTAGGGGATTGGTAGTTGTAGAAGTGGCAGAAAGGACAAGGCCGGTAGCTAGGGAAGCAGGATTGAAAACAGGAGGGTAGGTGGGCGGGGCTTGGGGGATGAGTTTTGAAGAATAGGGTGGACACAGGAGGACATCCTGGGAAATGGGACTACACTCACTGTCCGTTGTCAATGTTAGTGTTCTGAACCAAGTTCTGGGCTGCAACCTTCATCAAAGTCTAGTTTAAAAAAAAATGCAGGTAGTGGAGAAACAGAAGGAGGCACTTTTGGTAGTCTACATTCTTCCTTAAGATTCAATAAATTTCAGGCCTCATCTTCACCTGACACCCTTCAAAAAGGGCTGAAATAATTTTAGGACTGTATAAATGTAACTGCTCCTTAACTGTTAAGGAGTTGAAATTACATTCAGCCCTTTGAAGGCAACCGCGAGGCTGATATGGCCCCAGGTGAAAATGAGTTTGACACCCCTGCTCTATAGCAATAACCATTCGTATTTTTCCTGCGGCCCGCTCTCACTTGGGGTTCCCGCCAATGACTTCCAGACATACCTTCCAAGCCTTTCCCACCCATCAAATCACTAGCAGAATCTCTCTGTACAAGCAGTTCTTGCCTCAGGCTTTAACAAGAGAGCGGTTTCTCTCTTAAACTCCCTTCCAGTCGAGTTCCGGCCAATCCCAGGCTTAACATCCGCGCTGTTCCCACGAAGACCAAGTCTAACTCTTTTTCCCTGCCTAAGGCTTCTTTTGCTCCCTCCCTGCCTAAGTATCCCCTCCGCCTGCCCACTTTTGAATCAAAGAACCAAATCCCGCTACTTTCCAGAAGGTCCCGGCGAATCACCTGAAGACTCTCCTTCAGCTGTGGGATAAGCATCTTATAGCGTTGCACAGGGTCGAAGTCCTGTTGCTGTTGCTGCAAAAGCCCACTCTGGGCAGACCCTACAAGTTGTGTCGGTGGTTGCGGCTGCTGCTGGGTACCCGGGCCACCAGCCGAACCTGGTCCCGACACACCAGCAGCGGAGGAAGCCGCAGAAACTTGCTGCTGGGACGCAGCCATGTTTCTCACGCAGTACGCCGGAAGTGCGTTAACAAGTGCGTCTCTCCAGGTTTCTTTTCAGCGTCTTCAGCTTTAGGCCCCTTTTGCTAGGTAGCGCCACTCAAACGATTCAGCCAATGGGAGGAAAGAAGGCCCCGGACTCTCCAAAACGATTCTCGAATCCGATGTCCGGACTGAAACCTATTTACCAATCACAAAAGGCTTTTCTCTCGCTCCGCCCCTTCTAACAGTCCCTGGCCAATCCGGGTGTGAGTTTAACTCGAACTCCATTTCCCAGAAGGCCTCGCGGCCAGAGGGGACTAGTTCGTGCTTCACAGTCCTGCCGGCAGTTGGTAGGTCCGCAGCTGGAAAATAAGCGGCTGAGGGTTTACTTGAGTCTTCACTGTAATTCTTCTCGTTAGTCCACCTCTTTCCGACGCTAACCCCACCCGGACAGGGGCGCCAACCCGAGCGCTGCCTCTGAGTGGTGTCCGTTGAAGTCGGCACGCCCCACCTTGTCTCCCCGCAGCTCAGTCGGGGCCCAGTTCGGAGCTCCGTCGTCGCCTCGTCGCCATGGCGCCCACCATCCAGACCCAGGCCCAGCGGGAAGATGGTCACAGGTAGACTTCACCGCTTTGCTCTATCGTTTATCCAAGTTTCGGCGAGGCGGAGGGTCGGGCTCGGGTATCTACCTGGAATGTCACTAGACCCCTGGGTCTTTCTTCCCGTGACGTCGTGGAGCGCTCACCTTTGATGGAGAGGGGTTCCTTCAGAGATGGGGTGTTACCCCCTTCTCCCCACCATGGAATTCGGAAATTAAGCTCTTGGAGACTTTATTCAGAAGGGATTGAGCTCTTATGTCTCCAGTCAAGGGTCTGGACATCCTTTTTCCAAAAACAATTAAGTACGTGGTTATTTTTATTAAGCACTTGAAGACACCCTCTTGAAAAGGGACTGAGTACTTGGCTTTATTCATTTAAGCAGTTGGGGACACTTTTCTCTAAAATGAATTGAATAATTGGTTCCCTCTATTAAAGCAATTGAAGCACCCATGCTAAAAGAAATTACCCTTTAAAAACTTGAAGGCGCCTTTTCTGTCAATCTCGTCTTCTCCATTTTTCTAATGCTTTTCTCTCTCACCTACCAGGCCCAATTCCCACCGGACTCTGCCCGAGAGGTGAGTCCCATTATGTTTTCTTTTCCCCTCAATTATGTTCTCATAAGAGGGGTGGGCCAGTGGGGGCTGGAAGCAGAGGTGGGCAGCAGGAGCCGCCCCCCCCCCCCCGCAATATATCATTGGTTTTTATTTTTTCCCAAAACTCCCATCCTCCTTTGGCAAATACTAGCTTGTTCTCTACCTGTGGGTCTTTTTCTGTTTTATTCATTTTTTTTTTATTCTACATGTAAGTAGAATCGTGTTGCATGTTTCTCTGACATATTTCACTAAGCATAATGCCCTCTAGGTCCACCCGTGTTGTCCCAAATGGCAAAATTCTATGGGAATTGTATGGGAATTCTATGGGAATAAAATATCCCATTATATATATACACGAGATTTTCTTTATCCACTTGTCTGTTGATGGACATCTAGGTTGCTAACGTATCTTGGCTGTTACTAGTAATGCTGCAAATGAACATGCGGTGCATATATTGTTTCCAATTAGGGTTTTGGTTTTCTTCCAATACCTAAAAGTGGAATTGCTGGATTATATGGCAAACCTATTTTTAATTTTTTGAGGAATCTCTGTACTGTTTTCCATAGTGGCTGCACTAATTTACCATCCCACCAATAGTGTATGGAGAGTTCCCTTTTCTCTATCTCCTCACCAGCACTTATTTGTTCATTCTGGCAAGTGTGTGGTGATGTCTCTTTGTGGCTTTAATTTGCATTTACCTGATGATGTGGAGCATCTTTTCATGTCTGTTGGCCATCTGTTTGTTCTTTTTGGAGAAACATCTATTCAGGTCCTCTGCCTATTTTTAAGTTGGATTTGCGTGTGTGTGTGTGTTAAGGTGTATGCGTTCTTCATAAATTTTGGATATTAACCACTTAACAAGATGTATCATTTGCCAATATCTTCTCCCACTCAGTAGGTTATCTTTTCGTTTTATTGATGGTTTCCTTAATGGTGCAAATTTTTTTTCATTTGATGTAGTCTCATTTATTTTTTATTTTGTTGTTGTCCTTGCCTAGGGAGAGGTATTCAAAAAGATATTGCTAAAAATGTCAAAGACTTTACTGCCTATTTTTTTTTCTAGGAGTTTTATGGTTTCGTGATTAAGTTTTTAATCCATTTTGAGTTTATTTTTGTATATGGTATAAGAAAGTGGTCCAATTGCATTTTTTTCATGTATCTGTCCAATTTTCCCAACACAACTTATTTAAGAGACGATCTTGACTTTATTGTATATTCTTGCTTTCTTTGTCATAGATTAATTGACAACATAAGTATTTATTTCTGGGCTCTTTATTTTTTATTTTATATATATTTTTAATTTTAATTGTTGTTGTACAATTTTCTATCTTTTATTTCCAGTCCAGCCCACCCACCCAACCCTCCCCTCCTCCCTCCCATTTCCACCTGCCTCTAGTTTTTTATCCATGTGTCCTTTATACTTGTTCCTTGGGCTCTTTATTTTCTACCATTAATCTATGTTTTTATGCCAGAACCATATTGTTTCGATTATTTTAACTTTATAGCATAGTATATCAGGGAGTATGAGACCTCCCACTTTGTTCTTTCTCAAAATTTATATTGGTGTTTTTAATAGGGATTGCATTGATTCTGTACATTGCTTTAGGTAAAGGACATTTTAACAATATTAATCCTTTCAGTCCGTGTGCAAGGTGTATTTTCCACTTATTCACATCTTCTTCAGTGTTTTATAGTTTTCTGAGTATAGGTCCTTCACTTCTTTGGTTAAATTTATTCCTTTATATTTTATGCTTTTTGATGCAATCAAAACATTTATAAATATTGTATAGAAAGGCAACAGATTTGTTTATCTGTATCCTGCAACCTTACAAAAATTAGAATTTATTCTGATTTTGGGGGGTGGATTCTTTAGGGTTTTCTACATATAGTATTATGTCATCTGCAAATGAGTTTTACGTCTTTTTGATTTGGATGCCTTTATTTCTTATTCTTGTCTGGTTGCTGTGGCTAGGACTTCCAATACTATGGTAATGGGCATCCTTGTTTTGTTCCTGATCTTAGAGGAAAAGCTTTGTTTTTCGCCATTGAGTATATTAGCTGTGGGTTTGTCATATATATACATTATGTTGATGTTTTTTCTATATGTACTTTGTTGAGACTTTTTTATCATAAAGTGACGCTGAATTTTAGCAAATGCTTTCTCTGCTTCTATTGAGGTGATTGTACGCCCCCAAATGGGGACCTGGCCTGCAACCCAGGCATATGCCCTGACTTGAATTGAACCGGTATCCTTTCAGTCTACAGGCCAACGCTCAATCCACTGAGCCACACCAGCCAGGGCTGTGGGTTTTGTGGGGTTTTTTTTTTACACTTTTTAATAAAGTCTATTTTGATAATTATTGCTACTCTAGTTTTCTTTCTGTTTCTAGTTGCATGGGGTATCTTGTTATTATTTTCCAAATACAAGCAAAAGTTTATTTAGAAAGTCACAGAAATAGAAGTGAGGTGTGGTGTGGAAGTGAGCCAGCTAGGCTTTGTGGACTCAGGAAGCAAGTTAGAGGCAAAAAAAAAGGGGGTCCTTCAAGCTTAGAAGAAAGGAAAACTATGTTCCTTGAGGGGTGGGGGGAGAGGACAAGAAGCAGCAGGTGGAGAAAGGCACAGGCATACTCAAGGGCTAGAAAGGGGGGATGTTTTTTCCATTCTTTCACTTTGTATGTTTTTCAACGATAAGTATGTACTTACTGCCATTTTGTTCATTGTTCTTTGGTTGTTTTTTTTTTATAGTTCTCTGTTCCTTTTTTCTCTTAAGGTTTGGTTTTCTTTAGTTTTTATTGGTTTTGGGTTAACATGAAGTTTATGGGTATCATTAGCAGTCTATTTTCAAGCTGATTGACATTTCAGTTCAAATATATTTTGTAAGAACTACATTTTTACTTCTTCCTCCACATTTTATGTTATTGATATGTCTCCTCTCTACGTATTGTAGTTTTGAGAGTTGAACTTGATACTTTCTTTTGACCTTCATAGCAGCTTTTTAAATGAGCTGTTGTGTTCCCAGATCTGGAGTGGTCTGCCGAGTTAAGTACTGCAATAGCCTCCCTGACATCCCCTTCGACCCCAAGTTCATTACCTACCCCTTCGACCAGAACAGGTGAGACTAAGGTTGTAAATGGGAAACAACTGAGGGCGGGGACCTCTTCTTTTGTTGATTGCTCTCTCCTCAGGGCCTAGAACAGTACTGAGCACATACTGTAGTAGTAGATGCCTGATATACTTGATGAGCAAGCAGTGTCCAAGTCTCTTCCCAATGGGAGAGCCAGCCTTCAGACTCCAACATGGGGGACATTCCACTCTGAGTTCCTCCCAATAGAAGTTTAGCATCTATGAAGCAGGGATTTGAGTGTTAAAGCTGAATCAGGAAATCATAATGGGCATGTTTCCCTACCCAGGTTTGTCCAGTACAAAGCAACTTCCTTGGAAAAACAGCATAAACATGATCTCCTGACTGAGCCAGACCTGGGGGTCACCATTGACCTCATCAACCCTGACACCTACCGCATTGACCCCAGCGGTATGTAGGAAGGCAGGGAGGGCCTGCTTTAGGCTAGCAAAGGTCAGGCCTGGGTCTCCATCATGGTCTTCTTGCTTCCTTGCTCTCTTCCAGTACTCTTAGACCCAGCTGATGAGAAGCTTCTGGAAGAGGAGATTCAGGCCCCCACAAGCTCCAAGAGGTGAGGGAGTGCTGAGAGGGAACTGGGGACTGGCTCTAATGGAGGGAGGGTGGTGGTGTCCTGAAGTGCCTGATCCTCTAACCTAGGTCTCAGCAGCATGCAAAGGTGGTGCCGTGGATGCGGAAGACAGAGTATATCTCCACGGAGTTCAACCGTTATGGCA